CTCTGTTGGACAAGCTAAGCAAGATTGTTAGTAAGGGTGAACTCTTTATAAAGGTTACACCAAAAAAGTAAAAAAAAAAAAAAAAAAAAAAAAATCCCACTGGACTTTGCTTTCCAAGTTTGAAGATGTTTCATTCAAAATTTCAAGTGGAGCGGTGGGCTGCAGTCATTGGCGAGTGGGGCTTGAACTCGAACACAGAACCTCAGGATTCCAAGGTCTATGCCCTAACCACTAGGCCGCCACTCCCCTTCCACAAATTGGCATTGAATTCCAGTCTTTATTAATTAGCCCAACAAAGCTTTGTTTTGGCTTAAAAAGACATGCAAATTGAACGGGAATAACAAGTCCGCTCCTTAGTTATGGAGAGTTGTTTAGATCTTTGTTAGCCTACAACGCCCAATACTGGCCTATGCCTCTGAAAAGGGGGGTCATTATGGGCATTGTTGGCCTGGCTGACCATAAAGCTTGGAACTCAGTGCTAAATTCAGACATATTTAATTGAAAAAGCTTCCTGGAAGAGAAACAAAACGTCTTTAAACTTTAAAAATCAAAGTCCAGTGGTTTGTTTTTTGAATATTTTGGGAATGACTATGACCTGGATGAGTAAGAATTTCTCTAGTTAATGGGGCCGTTTAAAGATGGGTTAGGGATGAAATTTCAGTTTGATCTTTTTTGCCAAGGTCATTATTTCAAGTAGGTAAACAAAAAGCATGATCGATATGAACTGATATTGTGATACATTTTTCAGCCATATCACACAGGATGACTGTTGAAAGTGGGACTCAGGCACAAATCATGACACACATATGGAATAAGTTCACAAAAACATCCAATCCAAGAAATTTATTCACAAGAATAATTCAACTCAAGGTTATATTTTTTCATGCTTTGGTTAAAAAACTCAAAACTCAACTATGAGAACTCAACAAAAACTAAATATTTACTATGTATGTATAGACGTAAAAAGGCAAAAAAAATGGTTGGAAACCATATCACATTTAAGCATGGGTTTTGTGTTTGACAACCACCTTTACTCTTAAATAATGTGAAATTAAATCAAATTAGCTTTTAAACAAATTTAGAGCTATTGGAAAGTGTTCAGATCACTGCACAATGCAAAATCAATCATGCTGATGTATATTTGATAAACTAAATATTTCAAAAACTGTTTTTCCTTATCAGAAATTAATAACAATTTAGATTATGGATTCCTAACATTAATTAATATGATTAATATTAAGAGATTAATGTTGATTAATATTAATAATAATATTAAGAAAATAGAAAATGAAACATTTATTAACTTGAATGACACTCCAGGGAATGAATTATCTACTTGTTGGGACCATTTTAGCAGTTAACTGTAATGAGTAGATCAGAAAACATATAAAATGTAACCTATTGGTGTCTAAACCATTATTGAAATAAAACTTGCCATAACTTTGAAAAGAAAGTTCAAAACGGGTTAGCATCTGGTTCCGCTCGCATTGGTATTAACATGTGGTCACCTATGCTGCTCAGTTTTCAAACACAGTAAAACACATCAAGCATAATGAAATTATCAGAAATCCAAATTGTTTAGCTAAAAGACACCTTCCCTTCCAACGCTGGAACGTCTTAATTTCCATTCTAAGAAACAGTAGGCATTTCCTACGGTGCTTAGGGCTGCTGATGAGATGATAGCCTGGACTTAATGTGTACTCTTGGGGAACACCCCCCAGCTGTTTCTAGGTGGTTCTTAGTTCATTGACTCATAGAAGGAGCCACTATTGCCAACTTGCATATCTGCCACGATATTTAGTGACTTTTCAGACCTCTCTAGCACTTAGAGGAAATCTTGTAATTTTTTGTTCTGTGTAAATGGAGACTTTGGATACAAATTATAAAAGCACAGATATCTGTCCTCCTGAGCGAGGTGCGAGTGGATTGACAAGTCTGCCACCCGTTTTCTCTCTCTCACTGTCCGCGGTCGTCTTGAAGGGTAGGCTGAATCGCTGCTGCACAGAGAGAGAGAGAACCTTTACACTTTACCCTTTGAATTCCATATTGCAAACGAAGTGCACATGTGTGCATAGTCTAGATTGCAAATGAAAATATATTTTTTGACGACGCAGTTGTCTCGCATAAAATAAAATCACTGCTAATTCACTCTGCAGCCTCATTCTCTCCCTTTCTACTCCTCCCGGCTCCGTGTTAGTTAAAAGACTAACTCAGAGACGGGAGGCTTTCTTCTCCTTCTTCATTAATTGTTTTTCTGGTTGATGAACAACTAGTGGTGCGTTACAGTCACCAAATGGTGTGGAGTGTAGAACTAAATGTCAGGAATCTATGTACCTCCACCTGAAGCCGGATGACATGAAATATGCAAATTAAGCGATGATGCTATCTAGTGCCTTCCAGGACAGCCAATAGCGACTTTGCTTGGTGAAGAGTTGGCAACACTGTAAGGAGTTTATTAATCCAATCTGTTGGATCTCAGGGCCAAGTTGCTCCTGCAGAAGTCAGAGAGAGATGCGCATTGCTTGGTCTTAGCAATCTGATCCTTGAAAGGAGTGTCGACTTAACCTTAGATCAAGGTTTAAAGAATGTGGTCATCTTGTTTAAAAGGGACAGATATTCAGGTGGTCCCTTTATTATTGCCTCATTTACGGTGCCCCTCTGAAACCGTTCCGCACTGAGTTTGGACCGAGCGTGGACCAGTTAAGTGTGCTGAGCTTGGTTCTTACGACCATTTACACCGCTCCGCTAGCACAGTTACTCTCCTCCTATCAATCATCTGCAATACTTCAGCTCTCAAGCCGGGAATTACGCAAACAAATACGGCAGGGCCCATCATATTCAGGAACTTATCTGCCTAGATAGCATCCTCCACCCAAATTTCAATGAGAATCTCGGTTTTGGCATCATCCCAGGTTGCACCATGCTTTTTTGGTGACATTTATTGTCAATAAGCTGAGAAGAAAATTGTGTTTTGAACAGTTTAAGAAATGCAAGCTGGATACGCCGGAAAACCCACAAAATGAGTCAGCTAACTGTGAATAGCAGATGATGCGGTCTGCTCATGCACTCTTTGTTATCAGAGAACCGAACCACAACCGAACAGTACTGAGAACTACTGTTGAACTAGTACTAGATGTACCACGGTTTGGTTGTGTCTGGCAAGGTAGAGTTCAGTTGCGTTCCATTTATACATTCAACAGTTATCTAGGTTATCATTGTCAGACTGTTGGGCTTATGTGGCTTGCTTCCAGAACTGTCTTTGGAAAATAGAAAGTGGTGTGGTGGATAGAGCTTTATGCTTGGGTATCCACAGGGGGTCCAGGATGGACCCCTGTAGATACCCCCTTTGAAGTTCTTCCTATGGTACTGAAATACCAGAGGTCTCAGCTCACAGTCTGTAAACACTGTGTACAAACCTGAATCCCAGTTCCTACAGTGCTTAGTATTCATAGATGTTCATATTAATTTCTTTGTTGTATGGCAAAACATCCCAAACCCTCCTACTGTGAAATTTGTCCAAATCAGGAGAGACCTAGGTTGCATCTAACTCTTTTATCTGTTATTTCTGAATAAGACACTTGTGGCTTGGCTAACTGTACATTTTTATTCAGAAATTAAAGCTAACCATGGATCCATGGAAAAGTTGTTAAATAGATGTGCTCAGAGATGACATACGTGTTGATTTTTGTGGGTAACTGTGTGGGAAATTATGGTATGAAAAAAAATGAAATCTTTGATTATTTGGTGGATTCAGAGTTAATTATGTTTTTTTAAACATATGCCATATGTACTTAACAATTGAGAATTATTATTTCTTGATAAAAGGCAATAATAATTGGGATACAATGATTAAATGAGAGTTCCTTGAAGTGATAGATTTCAGAATCCAGTTGGTCAGGGTGCCAGCAGCCAGATGATTTCCCCATCTAGCTCCAGAAGAAGCTCATCTCTAACCTTTGACAGCCTGATCACCATTGCTGAAACCTGTCTGGGGACACTGCAGACAAACACCAGATGATGCTGTGCGCTTTGATCTGTCCCTCAACTAACCGGCAGTACATACCAAATGTCAGACCTGTAAATACTACAGCAGCAACATCCTCAGCTTTTTCATAATTTTTATATAAACACTTATTGGATATTCTATTACCACTAATGGGTAAGGAACCATTATGGCATATATAAACAACTGTTTCCAGTTATATTTTCCACATGGCACACATTTCTGTTAAATCCAATGACAGAAATAAAGTTTTGTTATGTGTTTTAACAACAGTCTGGAGGTTAATTTCGCTATTGCATCGTATTTCAGTTGTTTTCTGCAGGGTTAGATCATACTTGGTAGACCTTTAGTAAATTAAAGGTTAAAGCTGTCCATCTCTTAATTGTGGGTAAGATTTCAACCAATAGTTTTCAAACTCGGGGCCGTCTTGCTGTGACTCAACAGTACAAACTAATATATGTGCCATTTTGTAGCCCATGGTGCAATTTCCCAAGCTAATTTTATACAGACCTTTAGAAGTTAAAAATGATAAAAATTTTCGATATTCCACAAGTGGTCGACTGTAAATTTATCTGTTTGCATGACTTACAAGAAAAGCAGTCTAAGAGCACAAACCTCCACCAAGCAGCAAATTTTGCACCAAATTGTGACTTACACCTGTAGCTAAAACTCGCACATGATCTGGATCATTACTAAATTTAAATAAATTGTTCGGTGTTATGAGGCAAAACTCTGGTAAAACGTGTCCATAAAATCCATTCATAAGTTTTCAATTGAGCCTGCCAAAAAAACAACTTTACCTTTTATTGTGTTTTTGTCTTGCGTGAAATACCACTGGACTTTATTCAGTCCAATGCTGAAGCTGTCAATAGTCACTGCTGCCACCTATCCATTTTTGTCATGCTTCATTCCTGCTGGGCTCGCTAGGGGTGCTGCGGCCTATCTCCAACTGACTATAGGCGAGAGGCAGCTTTCACCCTTGACAGGTCGCCAGTCCATCAAATGGGACACAGGCATGTTTTTAGGCTGCTGGAGGAAGCCAGGATACCCAGAGAGAACCCACACATGCACAGGGAGAACAAGCAAACTGCATGCAGAAAGACCCCAGGAATCGAGCCAGAAACCTTCTTGCTGCAAGGTAGTAGTGCTACCCACTGCCCCACTGAGCAGCTCTACACCAAATATCGCTATCTCACAATGTAAGATTATGTTTTTAAAAAGTCCTATGTTCAGATTATGATATATATCATCACATAAATGTAATGTCTTGGCATGAGGGACAACCCTGATAAAAAGTTAATTAAAATATGTCCATAACTTTTCAAGTTATTCTGTAAACAGACAGACAGAAAAACAAACACAAACTCTCCTAAAACAACCTTTTTGGCAGAGGTAATAAATAATATCAACAAGCAGTTTGCTTAAAAGGTATAATAATTTAGGGCTCTTAAGTGTCATTGTTCACTTGAGTCAACAGTCTCAAATAAGAATTACACAATTGATATAAATACAGTACATCCCTTTTTCATAGTATAAGAGAATGCCAACAGGACAGAGTCAGATTCAGAAAACCAAAATGCAATTTAGAAGGTCATTCATTTCAATCGCTCAATTCACTAAGTGAAATACATTATATAATGAAATTACACACAGACTGATGTATTTCAGCAATTATATCTGTTAATTATGATATTCACTTAAGGCCATTAAAAAGAAGACATTCAAGATAAGAAACTAGTTCAGACGAATGAAAAAGAAATAGTACCTAAATATGAGCTCAGGGATAGTCTAGAAACCTGAGTAAAATGAAAGATGTGTGTGCTTAAAGGGGATTTTCAAAAGAAACTTAAATCTCTGATAAACAAGCATCATCTTGACACAAGTTGTCTTAACTAAATATGGTGGCACAGATTAATTAAAATATGGGTAATAACTAAGGATATTTCAACAAATGAAGAAAATAAAAAATTCAAAGGCTCTGGTTTAATCTGATGAGAGGAAGTTTCTTTCTACTTTTTTTTCAGTCTAAACCAATTAAACTGGTTCACATTTTTTGACATGAGGAATTGTTTAAACCAAAGATATATATGTCGGGAGAGGATTACCCCTATCAGACCTATATATCTAGTGACATGAGCACCCAGGCGCCTTTGCTATGCATTGAGCCATGTCAACAAAACTATGCTTTACTAATGGGGAATGACCATGGATCTGTCATTAAAATGGTTGTAGCTCCCTGAGAAATTGTCAATCCTTTGATGCATAAAACATTTAGTCTATATAAACAACAAACCCATAAGCTGTGTGGGAGCTGTGACTTATTATGTTGACAGACATATTTACTGTGTTATAAAGATGCTGTTACAGTAATTGTTTTTAACAGCTCAAATTGCCAACTTTTTTTAATAGCATCACAGTTTAATAGTTACGAGCCTTGGTGCTGACATTTTTAAACTATAGGTTAATAAAAGAAGATTGGACCAAACTAGACAGGTATAGCACCTGGATATTTCCCATTGCTGCCAATGTCCCGTTTGGATCCGAGGGTCTGGACTAAAGCCCCTGCCCTGGTCCAACATGACCTTTGAAGTAAACAACCCACATAGTTCTTATGGTTTAGGTCATGATTTTGAAGCTCCTAGAGAGAACACAGACACCCCTTCACCCTTCCATTGGGAGTGAGGCTATCAGTCACAGCGAGACAGAGAAATACGGACAGTAGAAGAAGACAGAAGGAGAGAGGGAGAGGATAGTAAAGAACAATATTTGAGTAGAAGAAGTAGAGAACAATATTTGCTTAATGATGTTTAATGATAAATGTCAAGAATTTAAAAGCCTTGTACTATAATGTTTTTAATCTTTACAATTTTAAACTCAGCTATTTTTCAGGGCATACCCATGTATATCACCTATTTTTTGCAAAATGTTTTGCAAATGACATTTCATGTAAATTAGATCTCAATAACATTCAAGTCAAAATGTCAAAGCAGTATCTCATTCTATTATTAAAGCCTATTGGCCTCAATGCATAGCAATGTCTTCTGTGGGTCATACCAAAGTCATCTGATGTCTTATCCAATTTCTATTCTAACATTGGGTTAAATGACCGTTATTTTTTAGAATTTTTTTTTCTATTTTCAACCAAATTTATTATTTTAAATCTATTTGCAATTTACTTATTTAATTGTGCTCAAGATTTCTTCTCAGCTTGAGTTTCAGTGGTAGTTAACAGGAATTACTAAATCCAGTGTCTAGTTGCTACAGGGCATATACTGTCATTGCAATGGCAATAGTCCAACAAATTTTCTTCTAACAAAAACTTAACCAACAGGAAACCTTTTCATGCCACTAGTCCAGAGAGCCAAAAAGCTTAATTTATTCTATGAAGTTTCAAACAGGCAACATTACATGCAGAAAACAGAGAAATATGTCACAGGGGCTTTAACAATAATACAACTTCCCAGTCATTCACCTATGCTTGTATCCAGAATTCAGATGATTTTTAGAAAGAAAGTTTTAAAGTCTTGAGTAATTATTTCTACTTTGAATGAAAGGATCCATGGATGATGCAGGTTCACAGGACATGATTGTTGCTTGTGTGTTACTGTCGCCATCTGGTGGTGAAAGCAGACACTGTTGTAGCTGATAGCAAAAAAATAAATAAGATTTGCAAAAAAAAAAACTATTTTCTATTTAATACTATAGATGAATGCATAAAGCATAATATCTTGCTCTTCAGGATCAAACAAGGAGCACCTTACTCAATTAATATAATATCTAAGTAGATGAAAAGAAATTCTGAAAATGTTAATCTAACATTAAATTAAATTTTTGACTTACCTTTAAAATTAATTTGTATACAGAAAACAATGCTTTACTTCAGCCTTTGGAAACAAAAAAGGATCAAAATGCTTTTTTGTAGTTTTATCTCTTTTGAGCAGATATCATTTAATCACTGAATTCCATTTTAACCCTGAAAAACTCATACAAATTATTATCGTTATTTCATTTTCCATGCAAAGTTAAGAAGTAAAAAAACATTTTTTCAGGTTCAACTGGCTTCAAAGTGTTTCCTAAAATGCAATAAAAGGTTACAAAGGATGACATCCTTGTCAAACTCAAAGTGTTAATTTCCTTCAAGTTAACTTCTCTATTTCTAATCACAACTCAAAACTCATCTGTATAAGATTTGGTCGTTGTGTTTTTATCTTTTGTACCTTGAGTGTCCAGAAATGTGCCTTTTAAATAAAAGTTATTAATATTATTATAATGATCATAGTCTGAGATCAGCGTCATTGTCTTATCATTGTCAACTCTTGACTATCTAGCCAAACTTAATAAAACAGAGTACATGTGTAATTAATGGCAGGGTATCAACAGAAGATTTTCAAAATGAAGTCAGAAGGTCAAACCAAAAATAATCGTAAGGATGAAAAAAAAGTCTTTCTATTGAATTCTAACATTAAATTTCATTGCTTTTCTGTCTTCTTTTGTTCTTGCCTTTCAGATTATTTCAGATCTCATCCTTTGGTTTTTTCCTCTAATCTGGACGAGCTTAATCCTGGAGTTTCCGAATGGAGAGAAGACATTGGCAGAGTTGTGAAGACCTGCCTTGTTCAGGTTGGTTACTAACTAATGCTGAGGTATGTCCCTGTTAAGTGTTTACTCTATCATGACAATTTTTTCCCTTTTCTGCTTTTTTATTTTCTATTAATGTTTCAGAAGATTTGATTTTCAAATCTCAACAGTAACAGTGTGATTATCAATTCCTGCATTCTAATGTAGTAGAATATCCCAATTGACTAATTGTAAAGATTGCAAACCATCTGTTCACAGCATTGAGAACTTGTAAAGGTTGTTTCTCTTATAAGAACATCCAAAACCACATGCAGTGTAACCCTAACTGCACTTAGGTTTTCTCTTCCAGACATTGCAGAGCAGGTTATATAAAAGACTTGGATACTCTGCTCTATATATATCCTAGAGTCGCCCTCAGTATGAAACATTCACTTTGACCTTCTGTCCTGTCAGATTGTACCATGCTCTACACCAGGAAACTGACAGTAGACCTCTGGTTATGGCATAAATGTACTAAAAGCCCTGGCCTATACCAAAGACTGTCAGAATGAGCTTCCATGTTCCACTAGATCCAAAAGTTTTATTCTGACAGTTTCTAGTATATTGGCAAACGATGTATGAAACAGAACACATCTCTGTAATACAGGCGACTCCCCATATCTCCTGTCATTTTTATGAATCTGAATTACAGTCTTCCAACCTCAAACTGTGCCAATTAAAGAGCTTACTGACAATGTTTTGTTTGTGTAATTTAAAGGTCACAGGGATCAGTGAGGATCAGATCCTGGTCACAGTGCTTGCAGGTTTGCCAACTACAGCCGAGGTTTTCATTGTACCAGAGAGGAGGACAAGAGACAGAGCCATGGACGAAAAGTGGGCACACCTGGATCAGGTACTGTCTTAAATTAGGGTCAAGGGTTAAGGGTTAAGACCTGGTAAACATGGTTTTCCAAGAGGTTCAAGACAGACAAACAGAAACTCACACTTTTTACATATCTCTTTTTTTTTTTTTTTTTTTTTTTTTTTTTTGCTGTTTTAATGAAACTAAATTAGACAGTTTACCAGCAAATCCTGGTAAACATCATGCTGAAGTATTTCAATATGATTTAAGTGCAGACTACACAAAAAGGTTGGGAGATTTTCTTAGTTTTCTGAAATGTAATTCAATTCAGTTTATTTACCGTATATAGCGTCAATTTACAACACGTCATCTCAAGGCACTTTACAGTTCACCAGGTCGTACAGTCAAAGTGATTCAAAGTTTTCTATCTAAGGAAAACCAGTTGATTGCATCGACCCATTGAATCGAAGGTAACCCCATACACTAAGAGAGAGAAAAACTCCCTTGTAAAATGAAGAAACCTCCCGCAGAACCAGACTCAGTGTGAGCAGCCATCTGCTGAGGCCGACTGGAGTTCAAGGAGAAAGAAGCAGAGATACAAATGGAAACTGTAAACCAGCTCCACAGGCGGCCCCGTCCAGGAAACACACAGCCAGGCAGACAAGCTTCGAGTCAGCTCCCATGTCAGAGGACGAAGTGACCAAATCCAGTCAGTCACAGTGAGAGAAACAGGACTACACTGAAAAATAAGCTATGCTACACTTTTCGTAGAGCTCAATGTATTAGCTCTGATGTATATCTCAAGAATATTGGACCTTAAATAATGACCAGAGATTCTATTAGAATACTCTGGTAGGAAAGTTTTAGCAAGTCCTCTAGATGTTTTTTATTTTTGACATAACAAGAGACGCACCTTCCAAAGTGCCTTTTTAGACAATTAAATAGTTGCCAAGAAGTCTCTCATGGATGTTATTCTTGCCAAGTCTTTTCTTATTTCTGCATTATGAGCGCTAACCTTCACTGAGGCAAGTGATAGCTTTAGCTAAGATTTGTTTTTGGTTATTCGGAGACCTCCTGGATGGGTCATGTAAAGGTTCCGTGCTGTTCTGTGTTTTCTCCATTGTGGATAATGACTTTCACTGTGGTTTCCTGAAGGCCCAAAGCCTTAGAAATGTCTTTCTAACCATTTTCTGTTCATTTTTTGTGAGGAATGATTTGTTGGTTGTTTAGATTTTTTCCTTTTGTAATTACAGTATGCTGGACTTTCCCTTAAAATACCACGATTTAATGAGAATGGCTGATATATTTTATTTTTTCGTCACGCCAGTGTGGATTGTTGATATCATTTTTCCAATTAAATAAGTGCATTATTTGAAAACATCTTGTTGACTTTGGTTAGGTTAGCTTCTCTTAATAACATGGATGGTCTGGAACATTGAGATAATCAAGGTTAGAACAGGGTTTTTCAATTTGAGTCAAGTTGAAGCAAACATTGAACCATTCCAGGATCAGCATGCATATTCATCTTTATTTACAGATATATAAATATTCAGCTTCAACAAAATAAACTAAAATACTGTATGGTTCCACCTGTCAAGAGTTTCCAATATAATCCACCTCACTATTTTAAATAAGGGCATTCTTCTGGTCCTGTTGGCAGGGCTTCTGGATCAGATTTGTTCTGGAGTATATAGATGACACTTGATCAGATATGAAATGAAAAGGCAGCACCTTTGGCCCATTGTTATATTCTAGGAGATATTCCTGGAGCAGGCTTTTACCATGTTGCCATATTTCTGTTCCTGCTGTGGAGAACTTTGTTAGGCGTTCCTGCTGCAGTACCTTTTACCTTTTCTCTAAGTTGTATGTGTCTATAAAATTAACCGGAAAATAATTTACAAATGTTTGGCAGAGCATTGCTTAACTATGACAGAAGATGATTTAGATCTCTGTCTAATAACAGGTATGTGAGAAATACATCTATCTGTGTGATCAGGAGCAAACACTTGCTTTTGTAGATTAAATTGCTACTCCTTAATGGCATGCATTTTAGCCAAGCTTTTAAAAATGTATGTGATTGTGGGGCTGCAGTAGATCAATGATAATTGGTTATATAATCATTGTTTAGTGGGTTTTCAACTGCAACATGTGTTGCCTATTGCCTTGCAACCGTAAGGTTAAGTTTGACAAATATAAATGTAGGCATAATACTCATTGTGATCGATCACCTGAAGCAACCAAGCTTCAAGTCGCAGCGTTTGTGTTTTTTTTTAAAACCAGAATAATGTGAATAGATGCCACCACGCTGGAAAAGAATCTGTCATGTCTTGCCTCAGAAAAGGTCAGCTGTAATAAGCTCTAGACATTTTTTGCAGTAATTGGGCTAAAACATGCAAACATTCTCTGCTGTGGTCCATCAAGTTTTCATGCAGAGAGCAGGAGAGCATTATTGATAGGCTCATTGTTCTCTTCACGCAGGAACATCCCTCTGGTCTCAGAAAGTTTCTTAGCTCAGTCTTTACTTTCCTGATGTTTTTATGTAATAATGAGTCTGGAAGGTGTCATAAGGATATTTTTTTTTCTTTGTGTACTTTGTTTCAAAGTGCAAAATAATTTACAGTGTAATACATCCTACCTGTATTCCATCCCTCTGTAAAATGAAATGCTTTAAATAGACACTAGAGGGCAATGACATCCTTTATTTAAAAAAAAGGATCTCCCACTCAAATGGCAGCCATTTGACAACCTGATGTTTTTGAACTTTTTTAGGAGCATTTTAACAACATTAGTTAAAAAATATTCAACCTTATTGTGATTTTCGTAACCTTATTCTAATGGCAAATAAAGACATCCACTTATTTGAAAGGTATCAAACACTAAGCCAAATTAATACAGCTTTTATTTATTTATTTTTTTAAGCGCAGCACAGGCAGACTCATTTATTCATTGGGAGTAAACATAATTTTGCTGGCTCACAGTCAGTCTTGAACTAAGTTAATAGGTATTTAATTACATTGATGCATCATATAATTGGCACCATCGAGAAGGGAGACAAACTGGGGCAGGCTGCTGGGACTGGGAATTAAAGAGATGTATTTATCTAAAGCCTGTCTGATTACCTGGCAGAACCTCACAGACAATAGGGTAATAAATCTTCAGTTCACTGTTCTCTCATCTCCAGTGAAAGACTTTCAGCGTAGAGGCATTAAGTGAGCAAGTGCCCACACATGCACACATGTGCGCAACGAGTATGCGTGGAGCGGGCTTATTAAAATGTGTAATAGATTTACTGACCCTGATATGCCACTAGAACAAAAAGTAATTATTCATGCTGTGTAGAGCAGTCTAATTTTAACCAGTGGAAAGATTTGAGAAAGAGTGAGATGGAATTAGCGAGGCATGGCTAAGGACTCAAATATGCATTGGGAAGGCTTTTTGGTCTCCTGTTAAATGACTGTTTCATCAAGGTGTGAAAAGCTGAGCAACTATTGGCACTTAAGGGAGAAGAAATTAAAACAGCAATTTTATGATATTAGTACATAGTTTGATTTCCTATAACGCCGCCTCGTTGAAGTTTTAAGTGGGTAATTCTCATTCTCTTTAGAATAGTTATGCTGATGAAGGTATAGGCGAAATATTCCCTTTGTGGGAGTCATAGCAAAATGATTAATATTTCTTTAAATGTCAAAGCAGGATGCCTCCTGCCTAATAGTCCTTAAAATCTGTTGGGTTTTCCCATGGCAGGTAGGGTTTTCAATATGTCACTTAAAGATTTTTCCCTCTTTAGAAGGAAACAAAAATTCCCCTACATAATTATGCTGTTAGTGGAAATGACCGATGACCGTAAAATATTGATGTATGGATTATTGGTGGACGGCTGCAGCTAACACACACCTGACTGCTCCTGTTTCATTTCTTGTAGCTTTCACAAGTTCTGCTGAGCGCTCTTAACCAGGATCTTATCAAGTTTACATTGAAACCTGGACTACAGGTGAATGTGTATGCCACCCGGCTGTCTCCAGGTGAGTCTCTCTGAATTCCCTCCCAAACCCAGTAGTTCCTATTTTTGCCTTTTTTCAGTCCAGTTTGGAAAGTCATGTCTGACTCTCTTTGATAAAACAGGAAAAGAAAATACAGTCAAGATGGCGCTGTCTGTTGCTACTCTAATGTATAACCTGTTCTCTGCTGAAATATAGCTGTTTATCACATCAATAGTCCTGACACTAAATTTCACATGTTTATTGTTTTGTATTTATATGGATTCAGCTAAATAAATGAAAAGAAGTTGTGTTTTCAGTGAAAGACTGTTTGAAGGTTCGCTTCAAAGTGAATTTCTTATAATTTTTTCTTACATGTGTTTTTTTTGGCTAAAAAACTTCATGGTAAATGGTGTTGTACTTATGAGCGCCTTTTCAAGTTAGGGACTCCAAAGCACTTTTACAACATTCAGACATTCACACACTGATGTTGGCAAGCTATGCTGTAGCCACAGCTGCCCTCGGGACAGAAGCACTGTCCCCTCTGCTTCATCTGCCACAGGGTGTCTTGAATCTCTGCAAGATGCAATGAAATCTCCAGATTATCAAGTGATTCTAGAAAGAAATGTGCTGCGCAGTGTCAGAAACATTGGTCTTTGTCACAGATCATGGGTGTTGCAGCAGGATAATGACCAAAAACACAGCTAAAAACTCCCAAAAATGGCTAAAAGGGAAAACACTGGACTATTCTGAAGTAGCCCTCTATGAGCCCTAATCTAAATCACATTGAGCATCTTTGGAAGGAACTGAAACATGCTGCTGTGGAAGACACCTTTCAAACCTGACACAGCTGGATCAGTTTAATAACGAGGAGTGGAATTAGGAGTGGACCTGCTCTGATCCCAGTATCAGTTCATGCTTCGACAGAGTAAAGGAAGAGCTCTCCACTAGCACTCCTTTCAAGTTGTATAAAAGATCTCAACAAGATCTAATACCATTCTCAGAGTTTCTCAACTTGTGTGTCTCTTTGTGATCTGCGACAGAGAAGTCAGAGAGCTCTCTCTATGAACTCAGTCTACTCTCATCCCACCTTCGGTTCATGTTCCGACAGAGCTAAGAAAAGAGCCATACACAAGCACTCCTTTCAAGCTGCAGAAAGGATCTCAACAAGATCTTTCTTATCATTCTCAGACCTTCTCAAATTCATTTTTCTTTGTGATCTGACAGAGAACAATCAAAGAACTCTCTCTATGTACTCAGTCTAGTGTCATCAAAGCTTCAGTATCCTTTTTGGAGAACATTAAACACAACATTCCTAGAATTGACTTCACATTAAAAAATATTATGCGACTCTGAAAGACAGATAGAATTAAAACTTCCTGTAAAACAAATGTCAGTAAGCAAATCACCTGGTCAAGATGGGTGGACTGCCAATTTTCCTAAGTTTCTGGGAAGACTTAAAATAATTACTATTCAAAGCCATAAAAGAATGTATTAAAAATGATAATTTATTGCCAACTATGAAACAAGGAGTCATTATATGGTAAATTACCTTTACTTATGTAGCACCTTTTCAAGTCAGGAGACTTGACCAAAGCACTTTACTCTACATTCAGTCATTCACCCATTCACACACATACTCACACAGTGATGGTGGCAAGCTACATTGTAGCCATAGCTGCCCTGGGGCTCACTGACAGCGCCACCAGGCCCTCTGACCAAGATTAGTAGCCCAAGGGGGCTGAAAGCTGGAGCTGGGGCTTCAACCGTCAATCCTTTGATTTCAGGGCAAACTCATACTCCCGACGCCACTGTCGCCCTGCTATTATAGCAACCAGGATTCATTAAGGATTGGTCTATACACAACAATATTACAGTAGGTTGGTTCTTGACTGTATATAATTGATTTGTTGAAGATAAATGCTTTGTTTTATTTTTAGATTTAGATTTATTTTAGATTTCTATTATTATTGTTCAGTCTTTCTCTCTCAAGGAACAACCAGAAGTCTTGAAATGGAACGGGGAATCCGACAGGGTTGCCCCTGCTCTCATTTATTATTTATTTTAACTGCAGAATCATTGACTGTTTTTCCTAAGAATAGCCATTGAGCCATTTAAGTTTTTGGTTATCCTCTGATGATAACTCAGCACGATGAATATACCACAATTTTTCTGAAAGATGAAAAACAGATCCCCTTAGTTATAAAGATTAAGATAAAAAGTTTTTCGAGAGCCTCTAGATTATACCCTCATTTGTAAGTTAATGTTAATAAAGGATTATCAATAAAACACCTTATATTGGATTCCAGTGAAAGAAGAAATAGCATATTTAGGCATGACCATAACAAAGGATTATAAGGCAAAAGAAAAATATTTCTCAATATTTTGCCGGTCATATAGAAAAGTAAATGCATTCTTAACTCCTGTCTACAAAGAGATAAGTCCATTTGGATGCACTCTCTCGATTTAGATATCCAGCTTTTTCTTTCACTATCGCTAGTTGGGGTGTCAGTGGCGTTGGATGAGTTTGACCTGCAACTGGAAGGTTGTGCCCAGACTCTGGCTTTAATTATCATTGTGTCTTTGGGCAAGTGACTCAAGTGAGTTACTGTACAGTATGTGAAAAAAACCAATGGTAGTTAGAGGGCCCGGTACAGCAGCTGTGTACAGCAGCTTCGCTTCTGTCAGTGAGCAATGTGACTTGCCATAATAGTGTGTGTGAATGTATAAATTCAGGTTTTACAAGGTATCTCCTTTATATCTCAACTATGACTCCCAACTTATCTCTCCTGGTCAATTTTAGGGAAAAATGTGAGAAACATTTGAGACAAACTATAAACTAAAATGAGGCTGATATAAAAAACTCAAATAGGCTTTATGAGCTATAGAAGAGTAAACTTTGAGCAGTATCATTTCCTCTAGGTTCATATGGATTGAAAAAATTGTACTTTTAGTTTTAAATCATGATAAATATTTCATATCCTAGCCAAATTTTTCCAGCTCATATAACTAATTTTCTCATTCATTCTCTTTAAAGCTCCTCTTGTGGATGGCAGTGACAGCGGGCACAGCGGCACTGCAGTCATCATGCTGGTCTCAGTGGTGCTGATGGCTTTGGCAATCTTTGTGATATATAAATTGAAAAGGTACAATCTATTGGATAAGGTAGATATCGTACAGAGTTCCGAGATGTTCTTTGCAAAAAAAATCAAAATGAATTCCACTGGATATCAAACATGGAACGAAAGCTAATTCATATTCAAATGTTATTATGCTTTGCTTCTGTTTAGACAATCGACAGTTTGTGAGTTTCCTTCATTTCCTATAAAAGCACTTCTCACCTCTGAACCACCTGAAACTTTCTATATGTACTCACACTCCATATATCCCCAAGTTATGGACATCTGTGGCACAATAATAGCTGGAGGAATAAGACAATTCCCCTCTGTCTCAATCTGCGGAATATTACAGGGATTGACAGTCTAATCAATTCTCCCAGAGTGCTGAATGGGTGTCAGAGTCCTGCAGTTATCAATATTCATCTATCTGACAATGTGAGGGTTGACCTTTTGGAAATGCTAAACACAGCCATTCAAGGTGAGGCATACTCTGTAGAATGGCAGGAAAGGTTGAGGAGATAAGCCTGAGACAACATACATTATACAGTGAGAGACATACAGTAAATAGCATCCTCTGCTGCAAGAAATCCCATGCCATTCAAGGGAGAATGATCCTGCTCCGCTGCAGTGTTGCTCATTATAAAGTAAAACATTATTTAACTTCAACTTTCAAGATTCTAATTGCTATGATAGGAAATCATATTTGAATTTCTTAAGCCCCCCCCCCCAAATGTCACAGTTCCAGCTGCAGCACAAGCTCACGAGGGAGAAATCCGAAATTAGAAATGCAAGAAGTTAGTTTTAGGAAGAACTGGGGATGCATCAGAGGGGATGAAAAATTGATTGAAAACTGAGGTGAACAACATGAAAGAGAGGGAGTGTTGCCCAGTGGAATGCAAAATGCCCTAGATTCCAGCTATCAAACAATCCTCCGCCATCTTTAACAGTTAAAAATAGTGTGTGACACATTATGCCTAGTGAAAGCATTAATGGAAGCAGATATGATGGTATATTTCCATTAGTGTAACTTTTTTTCCTCTTTCTGTAAACCTCTTCCTTTCTGCACGGCCTACAGAAAGATCCCAGGCATGCACACTTACAGCACAGAGCAGCCTGACAAAGAACAAGAGGTCATCCCTGCGGTGACCTCCATAGCTGTCCCAAACCCTGAGGGGGATGAGCTGACCTCACTGGATCATGTGGATGTACAACTGGATTCAAAAAGCAGAGGTATCAATGCTTATGTTTCCTATTTTTAGAAGATTTTTTTTAACCTATTGCACTAGTGTAGTTTTATCCCACAAGTTCCAGAGAGACTATAATGTGGGTGTACTTGGTATTAAAGTTGTATGTTTATCTTTTTGTATTGATGAGGGTGAATGGTTACTTATATGATATTCATTAGGTTTTCAACTTTTTCTCAGAAATAAAACACACAAAAAAGTCTAACTTTCTGTCTGTTTTGATGCCAGTTTAAATTACCAGCTTGACAAAATTAAAGATGCTTTTATTGCTGTTATGATTTACTGTGGAGACTGTGCAAACTGGTTGATTCGTATTTTAGACTTAGGAAAATGGCAGCCTAATATTGATTTTTACTACAGATATTATTTAGTTCGTTAAGAAATTTATACAGTTTTCTCATTTGAATGTTTTTTTTCTCTCTTATAAAGTTTCTTTAAGAAGTCTAAATCCCCCTTTGACAATATGTTCACAGTTCGTATTAAAATCTGTATATTTAGACTGAAAATCAGGGTTTTTACATTTTTAAATTCATCTTATAAAGCATTACTTAAAAACAAACAAAAAATAGCTACCATAACCTGGAAGCATAACAGTTGAGTAAACCAAGAGAACTTTTATTAATTTACCCCTTTAAGTTGAAATTGTAAAGCCCGCCACTTTTTTTTTTGTCAGATTTAGTTCTGGGTTAGGCTTAATTGGTGGCAATCTCTTTTTTCTCTGTTTGTGAGTGTATTTTTATTTATTTTTTTGCCTGTCCTGACTCAAAGAAAGTAAGTTTCCACTGCCATGTTTCATCTTAAGTATGATGTTTTTTTTGGTAATGCCTCCCCCATCAAGATTGTATCCCAAATTTTCAAGTTTAGTTTTATCCAATGAAAACAAACGGTCCCACAAGCATTTAGCCTGGGTGTTTACTTTCGAAGGAAAACTTTCCTGTCTTTCAGCCCAACTTCTTAGTCCAGACATACGGATGTAGAAAAGAGAGGAGTAGCATATTGAACATAACCAGCACTTGATGGGAAATGCTGCTGAAGCTCCTTTAGTGTTACTGTTTGATTCTTAGCAGTTTTTGTCCATATTGGAAGAAAGAAAATCAGTTTGTGTCTTTGCAAATTAACAATTTGTAATTGCTTTTGTGGTCTTTTCTTGACTAAAACCTTTGTACACGAGATTATGTTGATTCTTTGCAATCTTTTTGCAAACTAAGGCTTTTGCTGAAAGATCCAAATGAAAAAACCTTGTAGAAAAGCTAAACTTTATTTCCAATTCTTAGATTCCCTATAATTTATTGCAGGTATAAACTAAAGCTTATCAGATGCTGAAAGTGAATCGAAATGTGCTTCCGCATGGTATTCTTTATATGTTTGCTAATTTCAGCAACCAGAATATTACACGTTTATATTTTCTTTTTCTATTTATTCAAAACAAAATAATTGTTTTCTATATAAATGTCAAATTACACTTGCTTGGGTATAATTTATTACTATCTCTTCTTTGAAATGGGTAACGATAAATTACCTCATTATTACAACGTAAGTAAGTCATGAAACTAACATATCATCTAGATTTGTGACATGCATGATATACTTCCAGCATTTATTAAACAGTAAAAAAGAAAATCTGAACACTAAAATCCCACTAGCCTACACAAAAGATCTGGTTAAACAAGAGACATTCACCACATGGATGTTCAGCGATCCATGGCTGACCATCCTTGTGCTTAGCATTAGCATTCCTTGTGCTAAGCTACTCCTAAATAAAGAGCAACATCAGAAGTGTTACACCTGAGAAAAGGGAGTTAGATACTTGCTTAAATTCTCTTTAATATAAAAACAGAGCATAAAGAGAAATTCAAAGTGATGCTTGTGCTGCCAATCCTCTTGGAGATTTAATTGGAGCTTTAATTTTCCAGCAGGGTTTAGCACCTGGCCACAGTGAAAATATACCATTACCTGGTTAATGACAATGCAGTGCTTGACTCTTCTGACATAAACCTTATCTAGAATCTTCAAAATATGTTAAGAGAAAGATGAGATACACCAGAGCTACTAATTCAGACAACCTGAAAGACACTGTTAAGATAAACTTGGCTTCCCTTATCAGAGCCAGAGTTGTGTTGCCTCTATGTCACATCGAATAATTTAAGTACTGTATGTAAAGCAAAAATTAAAAAAAAGGGTGAGTAACATACTGTGCCGTAAATAACTGATAGGTCAAGATTTGAATCTCAAATATCTTTTTAATTTTAATCACTGGGCTTCCATATTACTCAAATTTCTGACAAAATGAATTTTGGCATCCATTTACTGAATGCAATTGATAAGACTGATAACAAAAAAAAAAAAATCACTTTAGGTTTAATTTGTTCATGATACACACATTTACTGTCTGAATGGAATTACTAAAATAACTATTTTAAAATAAGCAATAGTGATTAAGTTGTTTGGGATTGGTCAGACAAGATGAAATAAAGCTTTTTCAAATATTTTTAGCTACTGTTGTTCACTGGATTACTCGGAATGCATTTAATATTTAATTGTTGAATTTGACAACGTCTGCAAAATGAGCCAAAAACCTGACGCACAATGTTGCAGTATTTTTTTATAACCCTATAGTGCTGTGTAAGCCTTCATATAGGGAAGAATTGTGACCACAAGCTGAAGCTTACTGAAGGCAAAGAGGGATTCACTTAATTTAAGTGCTGATGCCTCTTTTACCCCTCCACCCTATCCCCCTCTGTCATACGAGTTGGCAAGATGCAACATTTATTATGCGCTGTATATTTATGTATATGCCATCCTGAGTTTGTCACATGGAGGTATTGGTATACACAGGTAAGTGAAGCACAATCAAGTGGCAGCTTAAGTGATGAGAACGTCCAGGTGAATTATTTGATCCAATAAAATAATTAGTGCATCGGAAAGGCAGCAGAGTGGTGAAAGCATTTTCATCAAGCAATATCTATGAGGTTCCAGCTGATTTACCCCTTCCCATACCTACAGTAAACAATCGCCCCATCCAAGATGAATGTGTTTGCTTGCAAAAATACACCCTTATGCAAATACCAACATAAAATCGTTCCCCTGTCTCTTCTCTTTCTTCTGCCTCGCCAGGCTACCTGCCATCTCACACAGACATCAAGCTCTCTGATGAAGCGCCCCATGTGTTTTAATGTTGGAAGTCTATGACCGACTCGAAAGCAATACATCTTCTTTGGCAGTTACTTCCAGCAAGCTAGGAAGCTGCGGTCACAATGAATGGTCTCGAGTCTTTTGCTACCCATGCATGGATGGACCAGTTCACACTGTGCTGCCTAAATCCCTCCAAGGAGACTGTACAGATTTTTACTTGCCTCTTGAAAAGGAACAGTTTTTGACTGAAAAAACTTGTATTTTTGCAAGGACGCTGATCTTTTTATGTAAATATTGTACATCCATAATGGAAGACGTGAAGGTTATTTGTCTCAGCCACTTACAGCTGCATCTGTTGAAATATGAAAACATCAAACAGCAGTATATATAAAACAGTCATATATATATATATATATATATATATATATATATATATATATATA